AAGTAATGAGATTTTTGAAAAGCTCTTCCATTTTTTTCTCTCGCTATTCTAGACAGTGAATTAGCATTGCAAGTTGTTGTTTTGCCAAGACTGCACCACCCAGGGATTTAAAAAGAGTGGGAAAACACTAACAACATCCTAAAAAGGAAAAAAAATTGAACTAGATTGTAGTAGTCGAAACTGTGATATTTTTTATGGTTCTTTAGTGCCCGGGTGGCTTTGGGTAAACTGGTAGTTTAATAAGAAGCAAGGTTTATTTTTTTACTTTTATATTATTATTATATCAAATATAACTTTATATAAACAACAATGAAAATGTGTGAAGTGAAACATAGTGATATATTAAACTAAACGTGAAAGTAAAATCCCTCCAATCCCCCCAAGAACAATAAAAGCTTAATTTCATGACATAGTTAAACTGCTTATAATATACAGAGAAGACCAGGCTACTAGTAACATAGCAAGTTGCCGGACGAATTTACGTTTACCCGTTTTGCGTTCGTACTCGAGATTCACTGCCGGCTAGTCGGCTGGTCAGGCAGTACGCAGTTGCAGTTGTGCTTGGACGGGTCGGTCATGACAGACTAGGAATACGACTCGAGGAGTGCCGAGTATTTATTATTTCCATTTTAAGTGTTTACCTTCACTTAAGGTAACATTTAAAATGAAAATACTTAAATAATTATTATTTGAGTGTGTTTACAAGCCAAAACTAAAAATAAATAAGTTCTCTAAACCAAAAAAAAAACAAAAATATTACTCTAAATAAAAAAAAGTTATAAAAAGTGTTCAAAAAGACCATCTTCTTGTGCTAGAGAGAAGCCTAGGCGGTCGTAAAAGCTCCGTCTGACATTGGCTAACATATTAGGGCTAATAGTTTGGAGAGCCTCTCGTATTTTTACTTGAAGCTCATCCAGATTATTAGCCCTATTATGACCATACACTTTGGATTTTACATAACCCCACAAAAATAAGTCATTGGGAGAAAAATCTGGTGATATAGCGGGCCACAAAATAGTTCCATGTCCACTAATTAAACGGTTGGGAAAAGTATTGTTCAAATATTCGTGACCAATACGGGCATTGTGGGCAGGACAACCACCTCAGCAATTTGATTACTTGAAAACGTGGGATTTTGATCCGCGGTAGCACAAATGAACACTTGCTTTAACTCCTGTTCTTCATTAATCAACACATCAAGCTTTTTTTGTTTTTGTGGGAACACGCACCCATGTGTTTCAAAATTATTAATAACTCTTGATACAGTAGGTAAAGATGGAATTGGCCTGTCTACAAAAGTTTTTGGAAAAATTGTTTCTATATCCCGATAAGATCTATTTTGGAAATACCATTTTACAATTTGAATTTTCTGACGAACTTCGTAAACTTCCATTATTTTATTTAAAAAATAAATTTTACACGAGAACTATCGCGAGAATCTATGTCTTCGTTTTGGCTATTAAAACACGAATAAATACAAATTCTGAAACATTCCTATCACATATCTACCTATTTTTAGTTTATCGAATTTTTTCCCCTGCTTTTTATCCGGCGGACGGGTATACGCTAATTCGTCCGGTTCTGCCTATGTTACTACTACGGTGGTCCGGTCTGTATATGTATTATATGCAACAAAAGTACACTCTTATTGAAATCCAATTAATGTTATAGTTAAATGATGTAATGGAAACCAATGAGTTTCTATAGTTGGCCACTGATAGTGTATATTCCGTAAGCAATACTATGACACATTTTTTTAAACACTGTTATAGTAGAGGAATGGGTAAAGTAGTGTTCTTTGGCAGTAATGATATTATCTTTGTATGTACGATAATGTTTTCTCTGCGCGGTAATATCTAAAAAATTAAATAGCCCTTCTCACACAATATAACAGAAATAATCTTGAAGAAAATATTTTATATCCAAATATATTTAAAAAAGTTTTAGATTTTGCAGGATTCGAACCTATGTCAGATACCATATGTTGATTTACACGCATTTTAGACCATACGACCACCGCCATTTTTTAATTATATAGTTTTCTTACAGTTGTTAAACGTTAAATTTATATTCTGTTTTTTAATACTTTTTTTTGTAGTATCTTTATATTTTCTAACCACTTAAACCTTCCTTAGACACCTATAAAAATGTCACCTAACCAAAATTAGCCAAACCGGTTCAGCCATTCTCGACTTTTAGCAAGAATACTCAATTAATTTTTATTAAAAATAAAATAAAACGTATTAATTTAATTACACTATAACAAGAAAATTCATTTTATATTATTAGAAATATTTGACAAGAGAAATACAGACTAGCTTGCAATTTGCTAAGAGAACATTTTATAATTTCTAGAATCATTCATTGAAGTAGACAGTCAATATTAATGGCCTGCATTTATCACTGGGAATTACTGTCCTTGCACTACTAATGCACCGTCAGGGATGGTTCAGTTGTAAGCTCTTTAAATTATTAAAGAGGAAATATGCCAAATGAGGTTCGACTTGTAAATATGAATTGGAAAATCTTTTGTGAAGTTCATATTGCCAACTCTGCAGATTATTTCCAATGATTACTGATTATTAGAAATAAATAAATAAATATAAATAAATAAATGCCTTTATTGTCAATTTTTTTTTCAATTTGTAGACAAAGGTAAACTAACAAACAAAGTAAAAAAAACAAGGTATACAAACAAACAAACAAAAGATAATACAAAACATTATACAAATAATATTGTCAGTCTTATTGTTAAAATAAACATTATAAATGTTTATAATGTCAAAGAACAAAAAAGAAAAATAATATTCAAAAATATTTAGCTAGTTTATAGTAAAATATCAATGACCTCTAAATAAATTCATTTCGATGTCATTAGTAAATACAGCAATAGCAAACATTAGACCAGTGTTTACAAGATCAAATTTGATTTTCAAAATATAATTCATTTACGGCGTAGAAAGCCTTGTCTAGTAAATAAGAGTTCAATGCTTTGCGAAATGAAAAAAATGATGTTATGGATTTGATTTCAAATGGCAGGTGATTGTGCATTTTTTTCGAGTTGTATAATATTGAACTTTTAACTAACTCTGAGCGTGGGGTAGGTTGATAAAGATCTTGCTCCGCGTTCCTGAGTGGATAAGTGTGAGATGGCCTTTCTTGAAAAACTGATACATGTTTACGTATTAGGCAAACGGATTCAAATATAAATAAGGAAGGAAGAGTCAATATTTTTAATTTTTTAAAAAAGTCCCGGCAATGAGTTCTGCTGTTTAGTCCCAGTGAATATCGAACAGCTCTCTTCTGGAGCCTGAAAATGCGGTCAAATTGGGTCGCACAACACGTACCCCAGAATGGAAGGATTTTTTTTTCTTAATGCAAAACAAGCTGAGCTCAATTTTTTCGACAAAGCTTCGATATGTATGTCCCATTTCAGAGAATTGTCCACAACAAGCCCTAAGAATTTTACAGACTTGACGACGTCAATGGTGGTGTTGTTAAGTACAAAAGGCTGCAACGAGTTTTTATACGACAAAGCTTTAGTTTTAGAAATGTTGAGACACAGGAGGTTCGAATTTGAAGAACGTAGATTAGAAAAACGATTATGAGGTTTTTTCGCGAACAAAAAAATTTGGAATTTTTTTTAAAAAAATTGTATTTTTTTTAGTTTTTAGTTAAAAAACATCATTTCTTTTGAAAATGTTCAAAGTAAAATAACTCGGTTATTTTCGACTTATTTCGAAAACGGCAAAGAGAAAATATGTTTTTTATGGAGATCTACCAGCCCTGAAAATATTTTCACTTATTTAAGACTCACCCTTTATATAAGTTCCGAGAGTGCTTCCAATCTAACAGAATCCCCTAAAATACTGACTTATTAAAATGCACTAGCTTAAATAGCGAGTACACAAAAATTGGTATAAAAAAATGGTAAATAAATGCTATATTTATATTTTTGTTATTCAGGGTGACTCTTAAATAAGTGCGAATATTTTTAGGAGTAGTATATTGCGACCCCAGGAACAGGATAATGAGTTTTTTTCGCGAACAAAAAATTTTGAATTTTTTGAAAAAAATTTGGACTCTTTTTTAAATTTTAGTTAGTATAAATATTTTCAAACTCCACCAACAAGGACCATTTTACAAAAAAAATTGGTCGTCGGTTGAATTGGAAAATAATTATATTAAAATTTATGTTGGGGTGGGTGTAGTTTTCACTCTTCCCGTACTTTTTCTTGATTTTTGTGAAAATCAAATGTTAAAGCACTTAGCAAAACATAGACATCCAAAATTTCGTTCGAATCGGAATAACGGTTCTTAAAATATCTAAAAAATTGTGTTTATTTTTTTAAAGTTTGATGCCCTCTAACCAGGGTTTGGAAGTAGTTAATTAAGACGTAATTTACCTGATTAACTACGTGTAGTTTTTCTTCAAAAACTACGTCTTTTCCCGTACATTAACTACATGAAAACTACGTTAATAAACTATGTATTGATATTATGAATAATTTTCCTTTGTATGAGGTGTAATAGAGATAATATGATGTAAATATTATATTTAAAGCCATATTTCTTCTGTTTTCTTAAATACATTTTGTGTTTTTAAAGCTTCAACTTATTAAAACCTCACCTCAAACCCTTTTATATTTGAAACTTACATACATAAGTTACATAAACTACACCGTCTACATAAACTACATTACATGTAAATGTAGTTTATGTAGTTTATAAAAGTAACATGTAGTTGTCCGAACCCTGCGTCTAACGGACTAACAAAGCACTTTTGTATAGAGGTAAGTTGTGTCCAATATTTAGTCTTATTTTGATTTCAAAAATACGTATGTAGTAGTTCTGTGTCCGCGGAATATTGGGAAACCCTGTATATTATAGGTAAATTTAATACGGGAACTGAGCCACAATAAGCTATTGGGGCTGCAGTGGAGTTTGTCTTCATAGTGAGTCTTTTACAGTTAAAATAGAAAAATACTTTGTGGTCTTACCTGTACGTTTTTAAATTGATGGGTACTACACAACTTTCCCAGCAGTCGAACGAGCTTGCCAAAAAAAGTGGGCGCCTCCATTCTCGAAGCCGACGAGACCAATAATTCAGCTTCCACTTCGTGACTTTCCGGGCCGGGTGAATTTGGTGCCGATCCATTTTCTCGGTTCGGTGGTGACCTTGTAATACTGCCAACCTGAAAAAGTATTGTAATATCATTACTTTTTCTTATTGTACATAGATTATTATTTACAAGAATCTGAAAAATGAATATAAATTTTGTTGCATTTAATTTTTTTTTTCCAAACCAAATCAAACTACAACATAAGTGACTCGCATAGGGGTATTTCGTAAATGTTTATATTGAAGTATTCATTAGATATATTTAATCTTATTCATATAATTTATATAGTTTAAAGGAAGTTTTGATCTTAAATTTTCAAAACATACCGGATTTGTCAAAAGTAGTTCGCTCCTATAACTATTTTATTTCTTCAGATAAAAAAAGAGATTTGGTATGTTATTATATAATATAAATTAAGATTGATTGACGTATTCAATTGTTTTCGATTACTTCCTGCTTCACCGAAAATGTACGGTATTTTTTCACTTTTGATTCACTATTCGATAGAGAATGGCACTCGGAATAGAATGACATACTATCATATGTCAACTTTTGACATTTTCGCTTAAAAAATCGTAGTTTTAATTTCAATCTAGAGTACCAATTGACCATGTTAAAAATACTAATTTTTAATGAAGGTGCCTTGGAAAAGTAGATTTGATCGACTAATGTTTTTCATGTCTTGAATTGTTTTTGACGTCTTGTTAAAAGATGTCCATATCGTATTTTTAATAATTTCTTGGTATAACTGCATGTTACAGTTTAAAGAAACGATATACGAAAATGTCGAAAGTTGACATATGGATATGTCATTCTATTCAGAGTGTCATTTTCTATCGAATAATGTAAAAAATAGGTACCGTGTTATTTAAAAATCAAAAGTTGTAGTGACTTCCGGTGAAACAGGAAGCGACAGAAAGTAATTGAATACGTCAATCAATTTTGGTTTATATAATATTTTTTTTATCTGAAAAAATAAAATAGTTATAGGGGGTGAGCCACTTTTTTCCCAATATAGAAAACAAATAGTTTTTATAGATTTTTCATTATCTCTATCATCATCGTACATATTCAGATCTCTAGTTATATCAGCTTAATTTAATTTGTCCTTAAATATTCTGTGGCACCTTATGAAAAAATATGGATTAAAACTACAGAAAAAATACTCAAATAAGTATAAATAATGAGTATAACTATAGAGACAAATTTTGTTTATAATTATTAATTATTTAATAATTTAATTATAAAATAATTTATAACCGTTAATTGGACATTAGTACCTATCTAATTGTACCATTGTATCTACCTATATTATTTTTAAATTTGTAAACCGTTCTATCAATAATTAACAAACACACAATATGATTAGTTACGTATGTTTAAATTATATCGATCTGTGTTATCGGATAGTCTATTAGTACGTATGTGCTATATCTTTCTATGCAGACAATCATAATATAAACCGACTAGCTATTAATTAATTTGCTATTAATGTCCCATTTCTAACTACTGCTTCACTCTACGTGCATTAGGAGAAATTTAACTTGTAGATTTAAGTCTAGTTTTAATGCATCTGAATTTTGTACGTTTTGTGCAAAAAAACAATATGGTGTCACGAAATTCGTAAAAAGTTAAAGAAGCTTTAACCACTATACGAACTCTGGAAGTATTAATCTGACAGCTACATACATAAAATTACCCAAGAAATTCGTAAAAACTATTTGGGTGCTTGAAAATTAGTGTTTTTTAGAAAACGTCAAAAATTTGAATGCATGAAAACTAGAGGTTAAAGCAATAATTTTAAAATAATGCAGTTATAAGTATTAAATTTTCATTAACACATGTCATATTTCATTTATATGACAGGTGTTGATAAAAATTTAATATGTCAAATGTCACTTAAATTTTGCATCTTTTGGGTATATCACTAAACTTTTCTACATAACATCTACAAAAACAATTTAATCTTTCCACTTTACAAATCACCGAGTAAATTACCATATTTTGAAAACTTGTTTTTTGAAAATGACTATTTTGGATTTAGGTAATTATTGGGAAAACTGGAAATCGTCCGATTTTCGCCTAAGTTGGTATACACCCTATTTTGAGGTCGTAGATTACGAATCTGAACTTTTTTCCTGGCGGTCTCACCGTTTTTCAGAAAAACGTAAAATACTTTCAATACTGAATTTATCTCTATTTCAGCCCTATAACTGTAATAAATATAATATTATAGTTTATCTAAAAGTCATACTTGATTGAGGATAGAAAAATGTTCAAAGTTTTACTGAAAAACACTTTTATTAACAAAATAACAAAGAAAATGGAAGAAGAATGGCGACCAGATGGAAGTTTGACATATCATATATCCTTCTTTCTATGTAATGAGAGAGACAAATATATTCTAGATCTAATCTAGAAATTTGAAACTTTGCAACGTTGCCATATCTTGTATTTTTTCGGATGATTAGGGATTTTAAATCAATTACCTATGAGATCTCACAATAGTTAAATCTACCTGCATCCATAAAGTTGCACGAAAGAGTTTTGATTGCATTGGTTTCAAGTTCTTTGCGGAGGGGATTAATCTTTTTTTGATATAATATAACAAAAAAAGATTAACTTAGAATTGATATTATTGTTGATATAATATAACAAAAAAAGATTAACCCCCTCCGCATAGAAGTTGAAACCAATGCAATCAAAACTCTTTCGTGCAACTTTGTGGTTATAAATAGTCAGATCTCGTTAGTATAATAATAGTTATGGGAAGGAGCTGTTCCTCTGGCGACCGCCCTTCGTAATCTCAGAGAGAGCGAAAAAATGCGCTAAATTTAGGTTTAGCATTGGCAACGTTGCTTTAAATGTCAGAAACACATAACCCGACATTTTCAGATTGTGTACAAATTTATTTTAGCCAATTTTCCTATATTATGCACAGAATTGGTTAAAAAAGTATCAGAAAATAGCAAAAACCTCATTATTGAATACCTAACAAACTATGTGTTAGAAAACCTTAAAAACATGAAAAATTAAGAAAAATTCGATGTTGAAATAACTTTTCGTTTTTCTGAAAAACGGTAAGAGACTGCTAGAAAAAAGTTCAGATTCGTAATCTACGACCTAAAAATAGGGTGTAAGTATACCAATCTTGGTGAAAATCGGACGATTTCCAGTTTTCCCAATAATTACACAGATTTATTATGGCATTTAATGTTTTCGTTCTCAAAACTAACTAAACTCGCATTTTACCGTATCTCTACTCTAATTTACGCTGTTAAATCCATTTAATATTGAAAATTATAGCAATTTCCCTTTAAAACATAAAATATCAGAATTTTTATTAAATTACCTATTTGAAAGATATTTTTTTCAGTAAATTCGTATGTAAATATAAAAGAGTTATATCTCTATCTCCCAAACAGAATTTGTTTTTCATCATTTATTTTTTATTTTAATTGCCATCGCTAAACCTAAAACAGGTTTACTGAAGTTCATGCTCTGTAAAAACAAACAGTAATGTAAAAATGAGTTTTATGCCGGTGTGCATCAAGGTGAAAACTATGAAAAAGGCCATGCAAAATAATTCATAACTATGCACCGCTTAAAATCTGGAATTACTGGTTTTATCCGTTTTTCTATTTTAGTTCGTAATCTGGATAAAGTGAAAAAAGTACTAACTACTGAAAAATTGTTGGCAAATTTAACAACATAAGCTGCAGAAAATATTAATTCTTAGAAATTTCGTTAAATAGAAAGTTGCGTTACCTTAAAACTAATAGACAAGTAATTAAATTGAAAAAGTAAAACAGTTTTTAATGCTAAAAAATTGTCGACATATTTAGCAGGAACGTACATGTGAGTTATCACTGGAATATTTTTCTAAAAAAACATATGCGCCACTGTTTTTTTTTTCTCTTGTTAACAAAATTGTGTAGATCGTTTAATTCCGATTAATAGCAACCTCTAAATTATTTTTAATGTCATTAACTGACCAAAGTGATAATAAGTACCTACTCATTGATTCTCATCAAAAAATATGAAAATAACTCCCTATAAACATGGGTGGGGAAATGCGTTGTCTTAAAGTTACAAGATATTTAACTTTTAAAATATAGGTTTTATGTAATTATCTTAAATATAATTATTTTTTGTAATTTTCTATAGGTAAGAACTGAGCATCAGTGTTACAAATTTTATTAAAATTTAATAATAAATTCGATTATAGTTATTAATGATACAAGTTCGACACGAACATCATAGCCGAGTGGCTTAGTTACACAAAAGTTTCATCGAACGTGCATCATTCAAAAATTTAATTCACCGACGCGACACGACCGGCGTGAAGATAGCCACGGTTTTCCATCCACGGTTTTGGAAAATCCCAACCATAGTAAACATATGGCAACGACGCTTTTCGTCCGATTCAGCCACATCCACGGTTTTCGGTGTCGAAACGCCTCAATTAAAATATATCTACAGCCACACTTTTCTGTTGTTACAAATATTATTAAAGATTTAGAAGAATTATATATTAAGTTAATAGAAATGGTCGAGTTTATATTTATATGAACAATTATTTTATATTTATATGAACAATTATTTATAAGATATAGATTTAACTTTAAAAATCCTCTTAAAAATTTAAATTCTATCTAGTTCTTAGCAAAATTCGATACTAATTTTTTAAAAGTTGTGCCACAGCGAGATCCTTTGGAAAAGATGTATAGGCGACTAGGGTACACTACCCATTGCCGGTACACTAACCATTTGCCGGTCTTTAGGGAAAGGGTCAGATTCAAAAAACCGATATTTTACATAAAATTTGACAGAAAAAAAATCGCCACCAATTTGTTAAGGGTTGTGCCACAACGAGGCCATCTGGAAACGATGTACAGATGACAAGAGTACACCACCCCGTATTCAAAATCATTTGCCGGTCCGTAGGAAAAGGGCCAAGTTCAAAAAACGGCTGTTTCTCTTGAAAATTAACAGAAAAAAAATTGTAGCTCATTTATTAAGGGTTGTGCCGCAACGAGACCATCTGAAACGGTGTGGCATGATTTAGAGTA